AGTGTGTGAACCAGGAACTGTAAACTATGACTTGCTCTACAGTGGCCCAAGAGAGTGGCAAAATAACTTGCTTTTTGCTAATTCCCGCTGTGGAGTCAGAGAATTCCTATCTGCCTGAGTGTACCGAGAAAAACTGCTGAGAAACTAGGCACTCAGTCCCTTCCAGGCAGGACTGAGGAAAAACAAAAAACAAAACAGCTTCTGTCTCCAGCCTCCATGAAACAAAGGAGATTAAACTTAACAAATGCATAACAATAGGTATTCAAGGGAGCTGAGAAGAACTTGTTTCTGAAACCTGAAACTTAAAACACAAAGGTAGGTAAGAAGGTAGTTGAGATCCACCTAAAGCCCATGAAAGGCCCATGGGGTCTATTAAAAAGCTCAGGAAGCTGACTAGACACTTTTAACAAGAAAGTGCTAGACGGAGAGAAAAATAGCTGCTCATTCTGCCTAAGTGAGCTAGTCCACCAAGTGACCAGCACCCCACACTCCCAGGTCCAAAAACAGAGGTGGGAACGGCATCCTTTGTTCCCAGAACAGCCAGTTGGCACCAGGGCAGGCAGTGGGGGCCTTCTCCTAGGCTTGGGGGTCACAGGGTTTGTAAAAAAAACAAAGGCGTGGTCCAGTGACACCCTGAAGCACCAAGTAAATTTTCATGATAAGGCCTCTCCATAACTGAGTGCCAGCAGAATCAAAGGGTCAGCTAACGCTCTAGTGGAATTTTGGGGGAGAGGAAAAAGGGGGGGAAGAAAAAAGATTAAAAATGTACACAGAATCACAATCCTTTGGGAAAGAGAAGATTCTTAGTTGCAGAGAAACCAAAGTATAATACTCAAATAAGACATACAAGGAAGTAATGATGGCCCAACTGAAAGAACAATATGAAGAAAGAGAAGTCAGCCCTATGGAAGTTCGGATAATGGACAAAATAGACAACTATCAAACAACAACACTAAACATATGCAAAAATTTTAAAGAACATACAGGCAACAAACTAAAAGAGGGAGGGAAACAAAAGGAGATTCTTAAGAACAAGAGAGGAAAAAAAAAAAAGAGCTAATTGAAAATCAAAATCCAACAGCCTTCTTTATGGAAATGGAAAACCCAATCCTTAATTTTATATGGAATGGCAAGAGGCCCTGAATAGCTAAAGCAATTCTGAAGAAGAACAAAGGAGGAGGACTCACACTCTGATTTCAAAACATACTATAAAACTACAGTAACAAAAACAACTTGGAACTGGTATAACAATAGACATATAGGCCAATGGAATATAATTTAGAGTCCAAAAATAATCCCACACATTTATGGTCAACTGATTCTTGACATGAGTGCTAAGACAATTCAATAGAGAAGGAAAATCCTCTTCAATCAATGGTGATGGTAAAATTGGATATGCACATGTAGAAGAATGAAGCAGGATCCATACCTCACACCATACATAAAAAACAATTCAAAACAGAGTAAGAACCTCAATGTGAAAACTAATACTATAAAATTCTCAGAAGAAAATACAGGGACATGGATGTTGGGCCTAGCTTTTAACAATGGACTACTGACATAATTACAAAAGCACAAATAGCAAAAGATAAAATACACACATGGAACATCATAAAAATTAAAAACTTTTGTTCATCAAAGGACTTTATCAAAAAAGTGAAAAGACAACCTAGAGATTGGGAGAATATTTTGGGGAACCATATATCCAATAAGAATCTGATAGCCAAAATATATATAAAACTTCCACAACTTAACAACGACAAAATCAAAAAATGGGCAAAGGACTTGAGTACACATTTCACCAAAGAGAGTATTCAAATGGCCAACAAACACATGAAAAGTTGCTCAACGTCTTTAACCATCAGAGACGCAAATCAAAACCACAATGAGATACCACTTCACTCCTACTAGAGTAACCAAGAAAAAAAAGGAAAATAACAAATGTTGGCAAGGATGTGGTGAAATTGCTGGTGGGAATGCAAAATGGTACAGCGGTTGTGGAAAACAGTGTGACAATTCCTAAAAAAACTAAAAATAGAATTACCATATGACCCAGCAATTCACTCCTAGGTATTATACCCAAAAGACTTGAAAATGGAGACACAGAGACTTGTACACCAATGTTCATTGCAGCATATTCATAATAGCCAAAAGGTGGAAAAAAACTAAATGCCCATCAGCAGATGAATGGATAAACAAAATGTGGTACATACATACAATGGAATACTACTCAGCCAGTAGGAGAAACGAAGTCTCGAGACATGCTACAATATGGAGCTTGAAGACATTATGCTGAGTGAAATAAGTCAATCACAAAAGGACAAATCAAATATTATGTCTTCGCTTATATAAAAAGACAAGAAAAGGCAAATATATACAGACCAAAGTTTATTGGTGGTTACCAGAGGCAGTAGGGAGGGGAAAACAGGACAACTGCTTATGGAGTACTGAGTTTTGGTTTATGGTGATGGAAAAATTCCATTGATTAAGGTTAAGTTTGCACAGCTGATTAGATTACTGTAATTTCTGTCAATAAGTTGTATAACTGTAAAAAGATGAAGTGGCAAAAGTTGTGTGATAGACGTATTTACAACGAACAAAAAAAAAAAAAAGAGTAGCTGCTGAGGCTGCTTATGTCCAACAAAAATACCTCATGTGATTTGTTTTCCTGGTTTGAGATACAGCAGCATGGTTTCATGGGACATTCCAGTCAATTGGCCTTAATATTGTTTTTGGTGTTTCTGTTCTACCTCCTAGTTCTTTGCATAGTGCCTGGGGTCTTAAAACTTTGTGAACAGCCATCCAAGGTACAATTGGTCTCTATTCGCCTGGAGCAGCAAGGGAAGAAGGAGAGGCAGGAATTGGAGGAACTGGAATGCATGTCTAAATGCCTCCATGAACAACTGCCTCCTTTGCCATGAGACCAGAAGAACTGGAGGAAGCCTGGCTACCATTACAGAACGTTCTGATCATAGATTCCATAGGAGAATTCTGATCAAAAGTGGGTAAAATGCGGAACAGAATTTCAAGTTCTTATGGAATACACTTTCTGGAACGATTGAGGTTGGGTGACCTGAGTTAATCTTTAAACCTTAAAGTAAAACTATCCCCTGAAGTCATCTTTAAAGCAAACAATAGTTTGGCTTAATTAGTAAAGAAGGTATGCCTTGAATCACAATAGAGGGTCCCAGACAGAACTGGAGAAAAATGTAGAACAAAATTCTAACTCAGAAAAAGACCACTTACCGCCGTGACAGAGACTGGAGAAAAACCCCAAGAGTATGGCACCCGGACATCCTTTTAGCTCAGTAATGAAGTCAGTCCTGAGGTTCACCCTTCAGCCAAAGATTAGACAGGCCCATTAACACAAAACGAGACTAAAGGGGCACAACCGCCCAGGGACAAGGACTAGAGGGCAGGAGCGGACAGGAAAGCTGGTAACAGGGAACCCAAGTTTGAGAAGGGAGAGTGTTGACATGTTGTGGGGTTGTTAACCAATGTCATAAAACAGTATGTGTACTGTTTAATGAGAAACTAGTTTGTTCTGTAAACCTTCATCTAAAGTACAAAAAATAATCACAAATTGGACTCCAATAAAAAAAAGGTATGCTGTGAGCATTGTGCTCTTTTAAAGAATTATCTATATAGGATTAAAATGACAACAGCAACTCCAAAGGTTAGATGAGAAGCTTACAAGCAGTGAGTTTATCTTAATGGTGGTGGAATAATTTGGTAAAGGATAACAAGAATGGTTGCACAACTTGAAGAATGTAATCAATGTAATTGTACATGTAGAAATTGTTGAAATGGTGTATGTTGTTGTGTGTATTTTTATACCAAAAAAATAAAATTTAATTAAAAAAAAAAAAACAGCCTATGAATTAAAGGGGGGGAAAAAAAAAAAAGAGAAAAGACAAGCCACATTCTCAAAGAAGATATTCACAAACATTTAATCAACAAGAGTTGGTATCCAGGATACATGAACTGATAAAAATGGGCAAAAAAGACTGGAAATGCAAATTACAACTATAATTCATACCTAGAATCCACTAGATCAGCAAGAATAAGCCTACCAACATTAAACATCGCCAAGGATGCGCATGACAAATGACTCAGCATTTTACTCCTTGAAAAATAACTGCATACTTTAAGGGACATGCACAGCGGTGTTTATAACGCTGCTTATAAAAGCAAAATGAAGCAAGCAAATAAGGGGGAAAAACACAACTAGAAACAACCCAAATATCTATCAACAGTAGAGTAACAAACTGGGGAAACCACCCAGGTACTGTCAACAGTAGAATGAATATTGTAGTATTTATACAATGGAATACTACTTCCTTAGTCATCAAATGTTGCTGTAACAAGTGGGTGGCTTTAATGAACAGAAATTTCTCATTATTTAGAAGTCTGAATTTAGGGTACCAGCTCTAGGGGAAGGCCTTCCCTGTCATCCTTAGGGGAGGGTCCTTGTCTCTTCAGCCTGTCTTCCTTGGAGATCGTCATGTGGTCTGGCATCTATCTTTCCACAGCTTTGCTTCTCTCTATGCCTAATCTGGTCTTTTTCTATCTCAAAAGAGACTAGGTCCAAGAGACACCCTACACTGTTACGGCGTCATTTATAACACGACTGCCAAACGAGATTACATCCACAGGTATAGGCGTTAGGATTCCAACACATATTTTCAGAGGACACAACTCAATCCATAACAACTATTCAGCATAAAAATGAATTAATGTTAAGATTAACATGGTGAATCTCAAAAATAATACTGAATGAAAGTTAGGGAAGAATATATAATGAAATCATAATAAATTAAAAAACAGGCAAAACTAAACTATATTAAAAATGGACACATACACAGGTGGGAAAACTACAAAGAAAAACAAGAGAATAATAATCACAAATGTCAGGATAATGACTCTTATTGACAGAGTGAGGGTATGTGATCGTGAAGGGGCGCACAGGCCTGTCAGCGATAATGCTGGATCTTAATCTGGGTACTTGGTGCATTTGTGTTTGTTGTATTATTCTTTAAAGTGTGCAATTACGTGACACATTTTTTCCCCTGTATCTATGATGTTTTATAACAGAAAATATAACAGAAAATTAATTTAACACATTTTCACTTAACTTTTGGTAATAAAATACTTTATTGGTACCATTTAATGTCAAAAACATAATGTTTCCATTGCTTAACTTCCAACTTTCAAGAAAAACCTGGTTTGACAAAACAGGAGAAAAGGTAAAATCATTTGATTCTGTCAAAAAACAAGCTGCAACTTACTTTTGCAAATAATTACATTCATTCACTCACTTAAAATACCATAATTATCTGGTCTTCGTAATAAATAACAAAAGAAACCTTGTGTATAAAAGAAGATGACTGCCTGAATAAGTTTGTGGAGAACATTTTACACACCTTAAAAACATGCCTAAATGCTATCCCAACTTCAAAGTTCTAAGAATTATTAGTAAGAATTATTGTAAAATTGAGTTCAAGTGGCATACCAAAATTTGGAATTCATAATACTTCACATGATATGATTTACTAAGCAAAAAGTGTAATGTGTTTTCTTCTGTGAATTTTCAAGGGTTTACGTACAAACAGAATTCAATATAGGCCCGTTTTAAAAGCCAAAGGTTCAAAAACTTATGCATGTCTTTCACCGTATCTCCAATTTCTGGATTTAGGTAAAAGATCCATGTGTGGTAATACAGTACAGTCCTCTCTGAATATAATTTATTCACCTTATCTCATTAATATAATTTAAGCTTCAGTTAAAACACTATACTATCTGCAAGTACTACAATGTATTCCTCTGAAGTAATGTGTAATTCAAACTTCATACAGACTAGCTTCCCTTCCCTGCCTTTTATTCAAATCTGTGATCTTGATATACCTCATTCATTTTTTCCTCACCTCAGTGAAACTCTCTCAACTCAAAATATTATAATAATGCAAACATATTTTCCCCACAAACATATTAGAAAATAAAGGATAATAAATATATATGAATCCATGTTAAATGAAGCAAAACAAAGCAAAAATAAAAAAAACCATGCTCTGCTCAACTACTGTGAACCGCCACAGGAAGGTTCTGATGTAGCCCTTGCTCCCACAAACGGATGTTCCCAGATACAGCAGTATCCTATACTTCAACATAATCAAACGTTCTATTAAAAACACTCCCATATTTTATATTTATATTAATATTTTTATATCAATATATTAATCCTGAACATGATGATAATGTAATAACATGTATTTTTAACCAAGCCATAGACTCTAAATATTTTCAACTATTATTCATCTGTTTAAGAACAGACATTCAGGGGGCCAAGCAACATTAGGTTAAGGGGTTTTGGTTTCTGCCTTCTCTTGGCTGGATGGATTTGAGATGTGTCATTTGATTATCCTCAGCTTCAGCAAAGACCTTCATTACAAATTCAGCAGGCTTACACAGGGGCAGCAAGTGAGAAACACTGTCCACTCCTGCACTTGTAGCACACGACCCTCTCAGGAGGCGCTGACACCCAGCGCTCAACACACTACAGCAGAAATGAACTCAAGACTCTTGGGATAAGCACCAGATTTCAATCTGTCAAGTATTCTATAGCACAGTGTTCACAGAACAGAGGCTTTGTATTCTGAAACACTTGATTTTTCTTCTCATTATCAAGATGAATTGGTAAAGACTTGTCTGAAAGAACATGAAAAATACTTATTTCTTCCCTGAAAGAGGCACTGTATCTGGAATTGGAGTTAAGGCTAAATAAACGGTGCTGGTTTGTGGTTGAGACGGTAATGCATCAACATGACATCAACCAACAGCTTCGCTATCCGTCCGGTATGCCTGTTTACGAAGGTGCGTCTCTATTTCCTCCCTGAAGACCAGCATCCCGAGGTGGGAATGCGAGGCCTCATTCATGGCTTTGGACTGGATGCACATGCGGTACTGCTCTGGGGTCAGTTCATCCACACAGCGCTTCTCATGCCAGAGGTGGAAGAGACCAGGAACTGGAGTCCGAATCACCATAAGGTCCCCATGTAAGTATTTTCTATAAAGATGAACATCTTCTCCACCCCAACCTTTGACTTCCATGTCAAATCCACCTGGAGGATCAAAATAGACACTATAAGTAACTGTAAGGTAGCCAGAACACAGTGACACATAATTAAGATTTAAATGTCCTGCTTCAAATGAGATGGCGTGGAACCGCATAAAGACACCTGACTTAAGAGGACTGAATCCTAGATTGGAAGTCCAGTTACCAGTTGATATTTAGATTCTAGGAGCTCGAGATAGTGTTGCTGAGAGTATCAAAATGAGATTAAATATCTGAGGGTGTTTTGTAAACTTGAGTTCTATCAAAATTGAAATAAAATAGAATATAAAGTACTCATACTCACCAACTTAATATTTTATTATATTTTCTCTTTCTTTTAGGCACAAACTTTTCTGGATCACATACATAGACAAAGGAACTAACCAGAGGGGAAAATAGAAGAACGAGCCAAGCTGGAAATAAAATTTGAGAGCATACAAATAAAGTCACAGGAATGAATGAAAGTATCGAAAGAATTTAGAGGAACAGAGGGCCTAGGTCTAAACATTAAGAAGTGCCAATATCTCGAGGTTAAACGGCGATAGAGCAGGAAAAGTCAATAAAAGAGACTTACGACGTGGCCCTACAGGAGGGAGAAAATTCTGGAGGGGTAGCACAGTAGCCAAAAGATGACAATGTCTCAAGAAAGAAGTGTGCACCCTTGTCAAAAATCAGCTGGATGTAGATGTATGGGTTTATTTATGGACTCTCAATTCTATTTCATTGGTCTATGTGTCTATTATTATACCAGCACCAGACTGTTTTGGTTACAGTAGCTGTACAGTATGTTTTGAAATAAGAAAGTGAGAGTCCTCCTACTTCATTGTTGTTGTTCAACACTGCTTTGGCTATTTGGGGCCCCTACCCATTTAATATAAATTTGAGGACTGGTTTTTCTGAAAATAAGGTTGTTGGAAATTTAATCAAGATTGTATTGAATCTACAGATTGCTTTGGGTAGTAATGACATCTTAACAATGTTAAGTCTTCCAATCCGTGAACACAGAGTGTCTTTTCATTTATTTAGATCTTCTTTAATCTCTTTCAGTAATGTTGGATAATGTTCATTGTATAAGTCTTTCACATCCCTGGTTAAATGTATTCCTAGGTATTGTATTCTCTTAGATACTATCAGAAATGGAATCACTTTAAGTTCTTTTTTGTATTATTCATTTCTGTTGTATAGAAACCCACCAAATTTTTGTGTGTTGACCTTGTACTCTGCAACTTTGCTGAATTCCTCTATTAGCTCTAGAAGCTTTTTGTGGATTATCTGGGATTTTCTATATACAGGATCATGTCATCTATGAATAGTGATAGTTTTACTTCTTCCTTCCCAATTTGGATACCTTTTGTTTTATTGCTTTATTGCTCTGGCTAGGACTTCCAGTACAATACCTAAGAGCAGTGGTTAAGAGTTGTCATCCTTGTCTTGCTCCTGATCTTAAAGTGGAAAGCTCTCAATCTTTCTCCATTGAGTATAATCCTGGGTATAGGTTTTTCATAAATGCCCTTAATCATACTGAGGAATTTCCATTTTACTCCTAGCTTAAGTTTGTTTTTTTTTTTTAATCAAAAAGGGGTGTTGGATTTTATCAAATGCCTTTTATGTGTCAGTTGAGATGACCATGTCGTTCTTTTCCGTTGTTCTATTAATGTGGTTTTTTACACTGATCGATTTTCTAATATTGAACCGAGCTGCATTCCTGGGATAAATCTCACTTTGTCATGGTGTATAATCTTTGTAATATGCTGTTGGAGTCTGTGTGCTAATATTTTGTTGAGGAATTTTGCATCTATATTCATAAGGGATAGTGGCCTGCAATTTTCTTGTGCTTTGTCTAGCTTTGGTTTCAGGGTAATGCTGGCTTCATAGAATGAGTTAGGGAATGTTCCTTCCTCCTCTACTTTTTCGAAGAATTTTAGCAGGACTTGTGTTAATTCTTCTTTAAATGTTTGGTAGAATTCCTGTGAAACCATCTGGTCCAGGACATTTTGTTGTTGTTGTTGGGAAGCTTTTAATTACTGATTCAATCTCGTCACTTGTTATGGGTCTGTTGAGATTGTCTATTTCTCTTGAGTCAGTTTAAGTAGGTCATGTGTTTCTAGGAATCTGTCCATTTCATCGAAGTTACTAAGTTTGTTGGCATACAGTTGTTCCTAATATTCTGTTATGATCCTTTTTATTTCAATTAGGTCAGCTGTAATGTCTCCACTTTTGTTTCATATTTTCATTATTTGCACCCCCTCTGTCAGTCTAGCTAAAGGTTTGTCAGTTTTATTGATCTTTCCAAAGAACCAGCTTATGGTTTTGTTGATTCTACTGTTTTTCTATTATCTATTTCATATTTCTGCTCTGATCTTTGTTATTTCCTTTCTTCTGGTAGTTTCAGGCTTAGTTTTTCCTCTTTTTCTAGTTCCTCAAGTTGCACACTTAGGCTATCGAGATCTTTCTTCTCTTATAATGTAGGTGTATACTGCTATAAATTTTCCTCTAAGCACTGCCTTTGCTGTATCCCATAGGTTTTGGTATGTTGTGTTTTCATTTTCATTTGACTCTTAAGTATTTTATTTTTTTCTCTCTCTTGATTTCCTCCTTGAATCACTGGTTGTTTAACAGTATGTTGTTTAATTTCCATGTATTTGCATGTTTTCCTCTTTACCTTCTGCTATCAATTTCTAGTATCATTCCCTTGTGCAAATACCTTGCGTAACTTGAATCTCCTTAAACTTACTGATATTTATGTGGTGACCTCGCACACGGTCTGTCCTGGAGAATGACGCATGTGCACTGTTCGGCTGTTGGCTGGACCATTCTACACGTCTTTTAGGTCTAATTGGTTTATAGTGCTGTTCAAGTCCTCTAAAAACCTGTTGCCATGGAGTCAATTCTGACTCATAGTGACACTATAGGACCGAGGAGAACTGCCCCATAGGGTTTCTGAGCTGTAAATCTTGACGTAAGCAGATGGCCACCCTTTTCTCCTGAGAAGCAGCTGGTGGGTTTGAACCGCTGACCCTTCGGTCAGCAGCAAAGTGCTTTAACCACTGCACCACCAGGGCTCCTCAAGTCCTCTATTTCCTTACTACTCTTCTTTCTAGATGTTCTGTTCAGTATTGAAACTGGTATGTTGAAGTCCTCACCTATTACTGTAGAGCTCTCTATTACTCCCTTCAATTCTGTCAGAGTTTATACATTTGGGGCTTGATATTATGTGCATACATAATTGTATCTTCTTGATGAACTGACACTCTAAACACTGTATGATGTCCTTCATCTTTTAGAACAGATTTTGACTTAAAAGTTATTTTTTTCTGACATCCATATGGCCACCCCTGCTCTCTTTTGGTTATTGTATGCATGGGTTATTCTTTTCCATCCTTTCACTTTCAGCCTGTTTGTGTCCTTGGCCTAAGATATGTCTGTCTAATCAGCATATATGGATGGATCTTTGTGTTTCATCTATTCTTTCACTCTCTGCCTTTTGCTGGGAGTGTTTAATCTATTTACATTTAAGGTAATTACTGTTAAAGACTTCTGTCATTTTGCTAATTGCATTCTGCGTGTCTTATACCGTCCTTGTCCCTCATTTCCTGCAATTTTGTCATTATGTTCTTAGTTGCTTTTTTGTAATGAACTTTTGATTTCCCTCTTCTGTGTACATTTTTTAGGTACTTCTCTTGTGATGGCCATAAAGATTATATTTAACAACTTAAATTTATAGCAACCTAGTTTAACTTGATATCAACAAGTAACATGTAAAACACAGCAACATGCAAAAAACTCTATTCCTATTTTGCTCCTTCCCCCTGTTGTTGTTACCACTGGCATCTTTATACATCATATACCCATTTATAAACATATTTCTTATACATTTGTTGATATAAAGCTTGTAAAACATAACTAATTTTGCCAACCAAAAATACCATAAGTGGCCCTTTTATCTGCCCACCATGCCATTCCCTTTACTGGAGACCACTCCCCCAAGCCCCTATCCCGCAGTGTATGGCTTCAAGTAGCTGTCTAGTGCCCTCTTCTTTCTAAGAACTCCTTTTACCATTTCTTGTGTGGCCAGTCTGGTGGTAATAAATTCCCTCAGCTTTTGATTATCTGGGAATGTCTTGATTTTACCCTTTCTTAAATTTTGTTTTTGGTGAAAATATCCACAGCACATTATACTCCCAATTCAACTATTTCTATATGTACAGTTCAATGGCAATGGTTACATTCTTCATGTTGTGCCATTTGTCTATCTTTCTCTATATTATTTCATTACCATTGACTTAAGACTCACTGTCCCATAAAATACTCATCTATGCTTTAAGAGTTACTGGTGTCAATTTGATCTGATATAGATGATTCTTTAAAAGAGTGTAATGCTGAAGGCAAATATTCTTTACTAACTCAGAAAAATCTGTTTAGTTTGAAGATGACTTCAGGGAATAGTTTTGGTTCAAGTTTCAAAAATTCTCAGGGCAACATACTCAGAGGTTCCTCAAGCCTCAATGGGTCCAGTAGGTCTGGATTCTGTAAGAAATTTGAAATTCTGTTCTACATTTTTCTTCCCTTTGACTGGACACACTTATTGAGTCCCTGAAGAAACATTTAGTAATGGTAGCCAGGCACCACCCGGTTCTTCTGGTCTCATGGCTAAGGAGGCAGTAGAGTTCATCGAGGCAACTAGACCTGTAGTCTAGTTCCTTATCCGTTCTTGGGTCTCCTTCTTCCTCTGCTGCTCCAAGTGAATAGAGACCAATTATTGTATCTTAGATGGCCACTTGCAAGTCCCCATGCAATACTCACCAAACTAGGGGGTAAAACAGAAACTTTAAAAAAATGTTAGACCAATTGGTTGGACAGTCCCACAAAGCCATGGGCCTAAGCGTTCAAACCAAGAGAACAACCTACGAGGTGTTTGGTTGTACCTCAGTAGGCAATGTCATCCTTTTTTTTTTTCTTTTGGTTGCTGTTGTGGTGGTAAATGTATACAACATTTACCATTCCACC